ATTCCTGCTTTTCCCGGATTGGGAATCCCTGAGGAAAACCGGGAAGGAGCTGCCGGATCCAGGGATTCCCCATTCCCAAACCAGGCAAGGTTGGAATCAGGGCTTGGCATCTCCCAGCCGGAATTTTTCCCCTCCCGGGAGTTGTTTTGGCGGCTCCGGGCGGGTTTTTTTCCCCGTTCCATCCCTTCCGGGCTCCGTCCCGGTCGGGAATCCCGACGTTCCCGAGGCCATTCCCGCCATTCCAAGGCCATTCCCGCCATTCCAAGGCCGTTCCCATCTCCGCAGGCTCCTTCGCCAGCACCCTGCCCCCCTACCAGCAGTCGGAGGTGATGGTTTTCATCATGAACAAGGTGCCTCTTCCCTCTTCCCAACATTCCATGGAGCCGGGAAAAGACGGGTGAGGACGGATCCCGAAAATTCCCGCCCCCCCCTCCCCTCTCCCGGGCGCCGTTTCCTTGGGATTAAACCGCTCTCCGGATCGTTTTTCCCGGAAAAACGGCTCCGAACTCCCGTTTCTTTCTGGAAAACGGGATTGCCTGAGGTCTTGGGAAGCGTCATTCCCGGGTTTTTTTGCCTTTGGATTCCTGCCGGGAGGACTCGGATCTGCTCCCCCCCGATGCCATTCCCGGGTTTTTAATCCCATAAAATGCCCAAATTCCCGCTCAGGACTCCCAGATTTTATAAAATCCCTGGTTTTTAATCCTGGAAAATTCCTAAATCCCGGATCAGTGCTCCCAGATTTCCTAAAATCCCGTTGGAATTGTGAGGCCGCGGCGACTCCGGAATTCCCGCCGTGTTTGGGAATCCCCGGCAGGAATCAAATCCCTCCTCCCTGGAATCCCCGGGATCAATTCCCACCATTCCCACATGGAATTCCTGAACCCTTTGGATCGCTTTTCCCACAAAAACAGATCCAGAGTCTTGTTTATTTCTGGAAAACAGGATTCCCTTGGATCCTGGGAAGTATCATTCCCGTTGTTTTGCCTTTGGATTCCCGCCTGGAGAACTCGGATCTGCTCCCCCCCGATCCCATTCCCGGGTTTTTAATCCCCAAATTCCTGGAATGTCTCATTCCCACCTGGATTTGACCCTGGAATTCCTCTTTCCGTGCAGGGAAAACCGGAACCGGCTGACGCAGATCATGCTCCTGAAATCCCTGCTCCAGGTAGGAATGCGGCCCCATTCCCGTGGGATCGTATTCCAGGTGCATATTCCCTGGGGTGAATCCCTCAGGAACTGCTCCAGGTCCATATTCCATGGGGTGAATCCCTCAGGAACTGCTCCAGGTCCATATTCCATGGGGTGAATCCCTCAGGAACTGCTCCAGGTCCATATTCCATGGGGTGAATCCCTCAGGAACTGCTCCAGGTCCATA